TTTTTCCTCTGCTTCTTCTGTTGCAATGGGAACAACAATGCACACAGAAAGAGATACTTACTGTCTGCCTTTTTGCACAGCTGAACTGCTACTCTCTTCTTCGTCCTGGTTGTAAGTTTTCGAATGCGGCTGAGACTCTTGAGACGAGAGATAGCAATAGTCCGCATATCCTCTTTGATCTTCTCCCTAGTCATGGAAAGTCGTTTGATACCCAATCTGCCATCTGGATCCATGTCGCCATCATTCTCACAGCTGAACATGATCTGAATCTGGAGATCCTGGTCTGATGCGACGCCCGCAAAAATATCCTTGAGACCTGCTCTGCATTCTTCGTTGGCCTCATCGATCCCGTCGAGGATAAGCGTCAATCTGCGATTGACTTTGTTGTTGAATTGCTGCCTGAAGAAATGTTCCCAGAGTAGCTTGTAATCTTCTCCATCAAATTCGCGCAGACGCTGCCTGGTTGCGAGCGCGCTTGAACGGTATGATATGTTGTGGGTCGCCAACTGTATCACACACGAGCGCAGCATAAGTGGCAGACTCCTGCGGCCGGCGTAGTCCTCACGAAAAAAGAAGTAGGCCACCGAAGTTGTGGCTGTGTGGTCAGTCATCGCTTCTCTTTGCATCCTGCGTAGCGCAGTGTACGATACCATCGACTTCCCTATCCCGGTGGCTCCAGTAAGTGATAGTAGAGGGACATCTCCTAGTTCAAAGTCGTGGTAGACGTCGATCTCTTGTATCCATTCACACGTATTCGCAACATACGCATTTTCCAAGTCTTCGATCTGCTTTTGGTCATTCACCTTGTAGTCCAGAAGGTCTTGAAGCCTTATCAAGGCGGTCGTCCTGCGGGCACCAGCATCCCTTGGAGCCTCAGATGTCTGCTTGTCGCGTGAGCTTTTCTGTGCCATCTTCTCCAGTTTCTTCAGGCCGCTGAGGACCTCCACCCGGGTATCTTCCTGGGCCGTTAGAATAGCGTGGCTAGTTGATGCAGAGTCTTTTGCGTAGACGCTTATCTCCATGCCCATCATGTAATTCTGCTGACCAATCTCCAGGTTCTGTTGGCCCAGATGAATAGTCTGCTGCACACCGGCCTGAACAGCGTTGATGTCGCGACCGATTCCATCCAATTTGGAGCCGGACTCGATAGTCTTCTTCAAGGTCATGATCATGACGGCAGATTCGAAGCGTTCGAGGTGCATGTGTACCGTATCGTACGCTGCCTTCAATTTGGGATCAGTCCCGTCCACTAGCGCCCTTGCCCACTGCTTCAGGCGGCCCTTTTGTTGGATTTTGGTGGCGATCGCGCACATGGTGAGCAGTGCGGAAAACACGTTCATGAGGAATTGCCGGAACTGACGCTCAGGCGGGGTTCGCTCTTCCAGTAGCGATACACGGCTCAGGAAAGCCTTCATGATATCAAAGAACGACACGATCATGTCCAGATCGTCAGACACGGCTTTGGACGCATTCATCACGTAGTTGAAGGCTGTCAGGATTACTGCGCTCGGCGGAAAGGCCGAGCTAGCAGCGTTCGCCACAGTTGCCGCCACCGACATGATGACCTGTGAGTTCTTCGATATTGCAGATCGAAACTTGTCCAGCTTGCCACCATCGTGTCGGGCCTCGCCAAACCTGGCCAACTGGCGTTCCTGCTCAGCCATTATATTATCCATGCTGTTCTGTCGAATAAAGTCAAGGTTCCGCAGGTTGATTTTGCATTCCTCGTTATATTTGATGAGGGCTTCCTCCCACATGGTACCAAGGTCTGTGGCGTCATGGTCTATCAACTTCCCTCCGAAAGGCGTTGGAGCCGCCATTGTTGGCTGCTTCGAAATGGAGTGTATATGAAAATGACATGGAACAAATGCCGGCGGCATAGGGAGGAAACAACAGACAAGCATAGGGCTGGGAGGCCGGCTTATATCAGTGGTGAAATTGCGCCTAATGGAACCCCAGCTTCGGAGCTGAACCTACTCGCCCCACCCTTTTCGTAACAAGATCGAATAGAAAGCCCCTGCCATGGTCCCAAGATCTTACCCAGTCCACTTTGGCTGGGACTCGATGCCAAAATTAAATCACTAAGCCAACCTCGGCCAACCATCATGCGGCAATAACAGCGCACTAATGCGAAGCACTTCTTGCGCTCTGGACGACCTTCAGCCTTGTCTTGTCATGTGTGCTTGTGCTCGAGAGGAGAAGCTTAAGCCATAGTCCGTGGTCGTTTGGCGGCATTGCGCGCCAGATCCGCAGCCGCAGCCGCCTTTTGGGATGGAAACTGCTAGAGCAGGCAAGCCGTACAGACAATTGGGGTCTTATCCGCGTGCGCGTTGTAAGTGCGCGCCACACTCGTTATTTCGGAACACAATTTGCATCGAGAATGGTATTAATTCAGGCCATGGAACCATGATATCGTTGATCGCGATGATGATACAGTATTGTACAAGGATATACAACTCTCGGGGAGTAGTGTAGCAATGACTCATTGACGCTGCTCCCTTCCAAGTGAATACACAGTCGGTCATCTCACCTGATAGCTTCTGCAGAAGACGATACTGGTAATACACCGATGCTCTCATCATCTTCCCAATCGTCCTCATCGTTATATGCCGGCTCGCCAAAGGCGGCGCTCCAGACACGTCCCCACATGCCCTTCTTTTGAGCCAACGCCAACACCATCACAACAGGCAAGTGCCACACACTCGCCCAAAACAGGCCTCTCGCACTGCCCTTGTTGCCCTGACACCGCCAGAACCGCACCGCCTGGCGAGTGAGCCACAGATTGGCTGGCAAGCTGGTCACAGCGTAGCTCCATTCCGTGACGCCAACTGCACATAGACCAATGCATATGGGGAAGAAGGCGAGGCTGTATCTCAGCGCCACGCGAGCATTCCGTGCCGGATTGATCCAAGATAGCATTTTGTGACCAGCTGCTTTGTACTCCTCCCGAATGGACCAGGAGAGAGCCATGAAGTGGGGGAATTCCCACGCGAAGAGCAGGCTAGCTAACAACCAGCCACCGATGGCATCTGTGGTGAGGAGGAGCTCCTGGAATGACCCAGTGCCGGTGGCAGATTCGCCTGCAGCTGCGGCCCAGCCCATGAGGGGCGGGATCCCTCCCACCACAGCACCGACCCAGGTATTGAACCAGTGTAGCCGCTTCATGGGCGTGTACATCCCAGCGTATATGACAATGTTTGTGGCTCCCAGAAACGCAACGGTCGGATTCACGCCGAAGTAGAGGGCCCCGATGCCTGCGGAAGCTGTAACAATAGCGAAAACCACGGCTTTGCGACGGGTAAGAAGCCCACGGACGAGAGGTCGGTTTCGGGTTCTCGACATCTTGGCATCTGTGTCGGTTTCGTACGTCATGTTCAAGCTGTTCGCCGAGGCAGAGCAGAGCGCAGTGCCCGTGGTCAGGAACGCAAGTGTGAGAGGTGACAGAGATGGCGTATCGAGGCCCACCGACGGGGCGAGGAAGTCAGGGACGGGATACAGCGCATACGAGGACATGGCTGTCAGAACAACCAGCAACGACAGTCGCGGCTTCGATAGTGAAAGATATAGCGAGAGTTGTCGTCGGAATGAGCTCGCAGACTGCTGTGCGGCAGACGTGGTTAATGCTGATGAAGCATCTTCGACCGGCAGAGGGCTGTCCGTAGCGGCGGCGGCGGCGGCTGCTGCTGCTGCCTTGCGCTTTTCTGCTTGACGTCTTCGGTGGGGAAGATCTTGATTGATGTGGGAGATTGCTGAGGAAGCCGACGTTTCGCTCTGGGTCCCACTCGCTGTGGTAGAAACCGACAACCTCCCCATGCGGCCATCCTGCGGGCGTGGCACGAAGTTGTTGGCGAAGAAATACCCGGGCTTGATGCGACCCGACCCTGCCGCTATCGCATTATGAGCTGCAAAGCTCCGGGAGAAGCTCCGGGTGAAGCTCCTACCGGGAGCGGCTGCGTGGTTTGGTGCGCTCGATCGCGATCGTCGCAAGCTGCACCGCCAGCAGACAGTATCGGCGGCCCCGAGGCGAGCGATGATTCCTGGCGGCCGAAGACTCATACTGGGTACAGGTTATGACGCCACGGTCGAGAATCAGCAGGCCATGCTCGTCAATGTCCTATCAGCAGCTGGTGTTCCCAATGGCATCGAAGCCCGGCCGAGTCGGATGACGCTTTCGAATTTGAGGACACCGGCCTATCAGATTTTCCGGGACCCAATGCCGTGGTGCTGGGCCTAGCCGTCTTGGAACGCTGGTAGCTTAAAAAGTGGATTATGAACCGCACTAAAGTCCGTGAATACTAACGTAGAAGTGAATTTACTATAATAACGAGCAAATTCCACCGTTGGCTGGCTAGTACAGCGGCCTGGGTGGACTGCAATCCCTCCCCCACCCCCCCTTTCCAGTGCACAAGCAAACAAGAGAAAGGGAAGAAAAAAGGAGTCATGCAATCACCACCGCAAACACCAGGACGCTCATGCTACATAAAATTCACATATCACTCCTTCACACCTCCAAAGATGTGTATCTCTGTCGGCGATCCATTGTCGCTATGGTCGCCCAGCTGAGCAGCAGTTCCCGTCTGCCACGCTGCTGTGATAAGATGGTCTCGTCTTCGTCATCCTTATCGTCATCATTGTGGGTTGCGCATGAGACTCACATATCAACGGAGATGGGGAAACTTCCTACACCGAGTCTGTCCACATTGCGAAAGGTCAGCTATGAGGCTGGTGCACCGAGCCCCGGAATGGCTCGAGGATCCCATCGCGCAGGCCCATTGTTTAGCAGAGGTGGAGGATGTGAAGCATCTTTTCCGCGATACCTTGTAGCGTGTCCGGCGCGAGACGCCTCTATACGAATCTCCCACCGGTTTAGTCTTCTAACAGTGCTCACGCTACGATCACGAAGCAATCCAACGTCACCGAGATGCCGCTGACCATATGGTACACGCTACCCAGGCCGCGCCATCCATGCGCATTCTCCTATGGTTGACCATGCTACACCACTGGGACATATCCAAGAATAATGTGCTCGTGTGGAGAGCTACCGGAAGACCAACCGCACTGCTTGACTGGGATTAACTGTTCACGGTGCCGGTCGCCGTTTTTGGCGCCTCCATCGCATCCCCCAATCTCCCAAGTGGAATGTAGCCCTGCAGGGAGAATCCTTCACGGTCCTCTACTCCTCTGGACTTCACATCGACCAACCCTGACCGTTCTCCCAACACACATGTACCGACAACCAGTCAATCATCACCTCCAGCATCAGCAGCGCCATTGTACCCGCCGTAGTTACGGTGCCAACTGCTACGACGATACACACGGCCCCCATACAGCTTAGTTGCACGCGGATTGTCTTTGCCACCTATACTCATGCGAATCAATATAGGAGGGAGGGATCATGCGCGATGCACATGCAAGCCGCTTGGCGGAGTGCGACGTCGGCCTTCAGTCTGATCGTGCTTATGGCAAGTAGATTGAAGATGGACCAGATGAGGACCTTGTCAGGGCCCGAGTAAACTTGACCCAACGCTGTTGGATACACGCAGGAAACTATGTGCAAGAGGACTGGGCCTCAAGACATGGCGATAGGAAACTTCAGCTTTCCCGCCGCATTTGCCCGTCTCGAACCTCAAATAATGACCCTCGATTTATAATGCAGCACTTGTTGGCCTGCGGCGCTTTATCTATTCAACAGTCAGGTCGCTTTTCAGTTAGAAGGCCATGGTTGTGCCGCTGATTGTACATAGATACGTGTGAAAGACGCAGGAGAACAGGAAGAGCAATCGCAGATCGCCTGTTTGTCATCACGGCGGCAGTCAGGCAGGCTGCTGATGCAACAGTTATCTGTAACGTCCAATTCTTGGCAGCTACGTATCAAAGAAAAGACGCAACTCACCAATCGTTACGTGCCTTGTAAGTAGAATCACCGTCGCGTTCAATCATGGTATTCAATGCCACAATGACTGCACAGTCCCTGCGGTATGGTCCGTGTGAACTATACTCGACTATAGATCTCTACTTGCCGTGTGCTCTGGCAGTGCAAAGCCTGTGCTGCATCCCACTTTACATAAACTGCATACTAATACGATCTCCAGCAGAACAACAGCCATGGGCAGTTGAAACCCCTCTGTCGGCGACTGACCGTAATATTGAGCCATTCATGGGACAGATTTCGTGCCTTTGTCAGTTCGAGCTGGTCTTGTCCCCGCCTTGACGAAAGACTTTTTACTGCGAGAGAACGGGACTGTGGAAAGCCGTATCGGCGACAGTGTTGTTGTATTTGAGATTGGCTTCTGGATATTGGAGTGCTGTCCTCCTCACTGTTGAGCCCCGTTCGACAGACAACATCGTGAAGACCCACGAGAAGGAAATTTGCGCATCCTGGCTCGAATTCAGCTCTTCCGGTTGGTTTGAACCCTTGTGCGATTCTGGTCTGTAATCTTTCACATGAATTGGGCTCGTCACGGCAGAATATCTCTGCTTTGCTCTCCCAACTTCCTTCTCATCTGAGATCCCAAACTCTTCCCTCCGTTCGCACATCAACCATCACAACATCAACTTCGGTAACCATCATATCAAACTCTCTCTTGGCACGCATCTCACGATGAATGATATGATGATCAAGCCCACCAGCACCGCGGGTGCTCTGGCTGAAGCTTCCGGCCTTCCTTCCGGTGGCCTTGCTTCGGGCGGTACCAAACCCGGCGGCTCCGTTCTGGGTCACTGCGGCCTTGTGACCTCCAGCTCCGGCTCCGCCAAGTCGGGTCTCACGGGTGCTTCAGGTGCTGCCACCAAGCCCACACACCTGCTGCTGCTTGCCGCAGACTCGGATACATGTCGCCTGCTGCAAGTGCTCCTTGTGAAGGCTACACTCAACTCTGGAGACGAGCATCGCCATGATCAGACAGACGACCTGGCGCGCCAGGTCTACGATCAGTTGTTGATCGAGGAGGACTCAAGCTACCAAGGCCTCTACTACGAGATTCTGGTTGCGTTTTTCGACGGCCCTAAAGTCTTCACTCTGCGCAGCTTCGTTCCCTTCTCTGAGGCCCCCGGTGTCGCTCCACTGGTTGCTTTCGTAGATGACAGTGAGTTCTTCTCCAAGCTAAACACTTTTCGACTTTAAAGTACTAACGCAGACTAAGTCTACGTTGACCTCCTCCAGCAGGAGCATGCCATCAGCCTGCTGGACGTCGCGGACGGCAAACTTGACATCCTCAAACGTGACGTCAGTTACAACAAGCAGCACGAGTTGTTCAACCAACTCCAGTCGTGTGCTCGCGATCTGAAGCGATCTGAGAATTTGTACAACACTGCCTCCGATCTGGAGAACGAATGCTTCTGGATCGACTCACTGGCCTGCAAGCTTCATGACTTGCTGGCGGCTGTCAACAACCCGGACATTGCCCGCCTCTTCCTGGTTGCCGTCTGGAGACTGAGCACCCGAGCTCTTCTCTATGGCCATATCGATGCGGCCAAGATGATGTGTGAAGACATGTACACTCACTCTGTCATCTGCAACCACGATGCCAGTTTCCTTACTGACCGCAGCAACCTCATTCTTGTTCGCGGCTTGGTCTACATGGGCTTGGGCCAGTTCGATGTGGCTCGTGGCTGCTTCTCAGGTGTCATCAACTACAAGTCCCTTGCCAAGGGTCCTGAGGACCACAAGACGATTCTGGCGCGCCGATGCCTAGCGGCTGCTTTGATGCTGAAGGGCCGTCACTCACCTGATTGGTATCAGGGAGTGAAGATTCTGCAGAAGATTCACACCATGACTTTGCCCGGCACCCCCAGAAACGACCTGATCCGAGCCCATTGCGTCTGGGAGACTCGCAAGGTTGCCAAGGGTCGCCATCTTGAGTGGCTCAATCAGTTTCTGATCGACCGAGAGCGAATTGTTTCCAAGATGTGGGCCACGGCCGACATTTCGAACCATGACACGTTGGCTCCTGAGCCGCAGGCTGATGCCAACAGTTACATGCTCTCCACTTCCGTATGCAATGGCGCTCTGGATGGCCAGGTATCCCACGATATGGAGATGGCAGATGCTGTCCGCGGCCAGGTCGATGGTTGGAGCATTGTCAGCAACGGTAGCGACGAGTATCAGGCTTCGACTGACTTGGATGACTCATCTGATGATGAGAATTCGTCCCACGGCGACTGGGTGATGATTTGATGCAAGGGTGCATTGGTGATACACCTTCTACCAGATGGAGCCAGTACGACGCGCCATTTGCTTACAACTCCGTACTGGAATGGCTTCAGAAAAGCACTTAAGGACTGTCCATCATCGCATAGATGGGAATGAAAAAGTTTCACTTGATCTTGATTGTCTGAGCAGTGTGCATATTCTGTGATTTTCCAAGTGCCTTGCCCAGATTCGTGTTGAAATGTCGCGAAAGTGGCATCTACTACCTAACAAAGACGTAGCAACCTAGCCATGTTTGACCTTGGTATACATTGAATGAGGAACGGGACTATTCATCTCATTCCCCGTTGCGCTAAAGAGATCTTCTTGGGATTGGAGGTAGTCTCTAGTTCCCAGTAATTATGGCAGAGCATCATTTCAATATGTGCACTCGCTAGGCTCTCGTATATTAATATCATGCTACTGAACTGTCTGAGCGTGAATCGTTTCTTTACTTTACAAGGCTTGCCGCTTGGCCTATCCCAGAACACACCACAAATCAGCACACAACACCAGCTCCAGACAGTCCAGCACCAAGATACTTGTACATCTGCCTTCTCGTTCGATGTTCTCTCGCTATTATTCCCTGCTGTCATTAGACGAGAACAGTTGCATCTTCAGCTAGCATCGTTTCAGAATGCAACGAGCCCATATCCTTTCCCAATGTAGCCACATCCTATAAATACCCCCATGCCGTCTGGGACGTTTCACGAGAACATCGCTGCCGATGGTCTGCGAAACTAAAATAGACCATACACTTCTACCTTTATAGCCAAACACCATCGAGCACTCAATAATACATTACAAAGTTGTTTAATGTTTTCTGGCTAATTCGCCTCTACTGGGGTCTGAGTGCATACACCCGGATAGGCATAAGTTTATCTAGATGTTTCTTTGGAAGGCCTTTTTGTAGCTCCGTTTTCACTATCCGTAGGTTCGCCTGCTTAAAAAGACTTCTAAACTTGACGTCTTGCCTGTGATAGAATCAGTAATGTTTCTTCTACGCCACTCAGCATATCAAGTTGAGAAAAAAGAGACCCACCTAGTGACACTGCTATCAGTCGCGTCGAATACATCTTCTTCACGTGTGCTCAAGTTCTCCTTGATCACAATGATGCCGGTTTCGGGGTTCAAAACCCTTCTGCAAGTTTCCAGGTACGTGACGAGCTGCGCGTCGGTCAAGTGGCCCACACACCATTGCGTCCATATGAGGTCGTACTGGTCGTGCTCTGCTGGTGACCATCCCTCAAGACCAACATTGAAGACACGGCCGATTCCGTTCTTGCCCTTGAGGGCGTCCGTGAACTTCTCTACTGGCTCGATAATATCAACTTCATGGCAGATTTTCAGCAGTAGGCCCTCGGTGATCCTGCCAATTCTACCACCATGTTAGGAAACACCGACAGACAGAGTGAGCATTCCGATGAATCTTACCCTGCCCCACCCTCAAGAGCTCTGCTAACCATACGCAGGCCAGGTTTCGCGCCAATACCCAACTTGGCGAGGAAACTACGAGAGCCTTGAAGATCGACGCGGGACATGGCCGAGAGCCCTGGCATAGTAGGAACTCCACCGAGCATGCCATCCGCGTCATTGGCTACACTGTTCCAGTACTTGAGACCCTCGTCCCGATTGATGAGTGCATCAGGGGCCGATAACGCCTCGCTGGTGGGGTCGGCTGTTTGTCTTGTACTGGGTTTGTCTGCTTCCATGCTTGGGCTCTGAAGGTATCGATTTCGTTGGCAATATCCATAGACTTCAATCAGTCAAAAGTCGTTTGAAGTACCAATCTATATTGCGACCAGATATTGTGATAATATTGCGTTTCACCTCGCGCACTTCAGACCTGGCCAGCGACAAGAAATTTCAGACTAACGCCACTTGCGACGCAAAGAGAGTTTGGGTGGCCCCCACTACGTGACAGCTGGCGGACAGCCCACTCTCCGAACTTGAGTAGTATAAAATGATGAAGTGGTAGCTCATAATCATATAAACAATCCGGCGAGACGACAGCTCCCCAAATACTGCACTCAGTTTTCTCCATTCTTTTCCCCGACAAATCCCCAAAAAGATGCAGTTGGCCGTAAGTCTAGCATCTTCAGGCTCCTCACGGTACCAAGTTCTTTTGTCAGCAATGTTACTGGAGCCATCATTTGTCCAAGCTACTGCCGTCAACTGCAAAGTGAAGGACCCTCGCTCCTTCGGTGGTGCTCCACCCGCAAATTCCCAGATAGACAATTCCGTCCCTCAGAAACCAATGGTCCATAGCGGCATTTTAAGATAAGTGCTTGGTCAAGTTTTTTTTTTTTTTTTTTTTTTTTTTTTTCACGTTAAACGCAGTGTGCAGCTTACAAAGAAACATTTTGTTACAAAGCTACAATTGTTGTTGCAAATCTTTAGCAGCGAATTATTCTGCCATTCAAGAATATTCAGGATGCAGAAACGCTTTGGTTTACCAGTCCTGATAGATTTCGGTGTGCTACCTCCGCTTAAATCAAGTCTTGGTGGTCTGCAGACGGTCGATGGTTCTTCCAATCGTAAGGCGGATTTGCTCCCATCTTTGAATAAGTAGTCGGCGCTGGGCAGATTTGCCGATTTTCATCCTCTCCAACTTTCCGATCACAGTTTGTATGGTGGCGATATAGCTCTGAAGCAGCTCGCTAAGCAGCTTGTTGACGTCGTCTTGAGCGTCAGGGACCTCGACGCCATCCTCGGCAAATGCCACCCACTGTTCCGCGGTGTAACACCTCAAACGCACCGCAGACTCTGTCCTACGACAAGCACCCTCCCTAGACCGCAGGACATAATTGCCTAGGAGCCCCTTCTCTCCCAACTCCGCCTTGTGTTCGTTGCTCAGGTGAGGCAAAATCGCGTCATCAATACAGACCTCATCCCACTGGTTCTCGGCGAGGATAAAGCCGTATTCTACTAGCAGAAAGTCGTTTGAGTGATCTCCGTACGAGATGTATAATTCCTCTCCAGCGCGATACGCCCGATCTGTGGTGACCTTGTACCTCTTGCTGTTGAATGTCACTTCACAGCCTGTATCGGCGTGATTGAAGAGATCGGCGACTGGAAGAAGTGCCAGCCTGTCCTCCCAGGGGTATGTCTCCGTAGTGGGCGTCGAGTTGTAAAAGGTTCTGCTGTTGATCAAGAACCACATGCGCAGGTAGTCTTCGTGCTGGAGTGCTGTGAACTTTTCGGGGATCAAATCCCATTGCGTCCGAAGCCTAGCCTGTTGCTGGCCAAGCAAAGACAGGGCCGGCCCAGGAAGAAGCGCCTGGAGGTCGCTCGGCCACAGCAGCGGTACGCACTCTTCTAGACTCTCGAGGGAAGGCAAGATGGCGTTCCACGGTGTTGGCTTGGCTATGTGGTTGAGAGCCAGGTCAAGGGCGAGCAGACTGTGGATGGTCCATTTCTCTGGCAATGCGTCCCGGATGCCGTTGGGTACGGTGTCGAGGCAGCGTACCGCGCCAAATGGGACCTTCAGGATGGCCTCTCCTGCCTGCGGTACGGTAAGATGCCTGTGATTCAAGTCGGACGGTGTCCCATTACCCGTAAGTGGCGTTTTGCGACGATGCCTGCACCACGGCCAGGAAGCTGTGCCGCCTCAATGCCGTCTGTTACGACCCCCTGGCCGCGTGCCCAGGGCAGCAGGTCACCTAAAGACTGCCCTGCCGTCATTGAACACAAGCCTGAACAGTGCAGTCGCGGTAGGTACACTTGTGATGGAGCACGGCCTTGGAATCTCCAAAATTGCTCAAATGGCGCAAATTGCCGGGCTCTTCGAAGCAAGGCCCTGCTGGTCCCTGGATGGTCTACTCGAGTAGCGAATGGCTTGGAATGTTCCCGCCGTCGCTACAGTCGCCCTGCGCAGGCACGCTCTTCGTTTGCCGTGCACATGGGTGCCCCTCCAAGACGCAGCCCTGGAGACCACTGGGATTGGGGCGTTTTGCCGCAACGGCTGCCGCCAACTGCAGTTAGTTGCCAGTGGCGTCGGGGTGGTCATTCAGCACGAACATTGCGGTAGGGACTACTCGACGAGCACACCAGAAATGCATTGCTTATAATTCAGGATCTTACGGATGTCAGACTCAGTATCATCTAGGAACGTGTTTTGAAATCTCCAACCTTCCCCGATCTTCGCATCCAGCGCCCTCCGAGTCCCGTGCACTCCGCCCCAGCTCATGCAACTCTCGGTACTGGCCCATGCACCCCTTCATCGACTGTCTTCTCGTGGGCCAGGCCCCCTGAGTGCTCGCTGCTCACACGAGGATAAGCTTCGATCGCCGTGTCGTCAAGATCCCACACAGTTTCTCGGACAAGAGTTTGCTTTGCCGGGAAAGCCAAGCTCAAGCCTGTGTACAGCACCACCGAGACCACGAACCCAAACAGCCAGTTGAAGCTGTATAGGTTCTTAGCACCGGCACTGATAGGGACGGCCGTGTTGCCACTGATGCTGTTGCCGAGTCCTGGCAGCAGAGGAGCGACCGGGGACAGAAACGCAACGGCTGCCCGCCAGTTGCAGCCGCCAACGTACTTGTACCGGCCCAGAGGATTGTACAGGGCTGGGATGTCAATCTGCCGTTTCTTGATGAGCCAGTAGTCCGCCGCGAGGATGCCGGCCATTGGGCCCAAGAAGATAGCATATCCGCTCATGAAGGCCAGGAACGTCTCGGCGGAATCCAGGATCTTCCACGGAACCAGAACCCAACCAGCAATGACAGCCGCGATCATGCAACCCCTCTTGATGTTTACCCACCGGGGAAACAGCACGGTCAGGTCGTTCGCTGCGCTGATGGAGTTGGCCGTGATATTCGTCCCAACCTGCGCCACGTACCAAGCCAGCGCGGCGAAAAAGGCAGCACAACGGCCTCCTGCGCCGTAGTCGAGCCAGATGGCGATGATGTCCAGCGGATTCCAAAGGTACTCCCCACTGAAGACCTTGCTTGCCGAAGTTGTCACGATTCCTAGAACTCCACAGGCAGTGAATATGATGGGCAAGAAGGGGAGCTGGATGAACTGGCCCTTTGCTGATCTGGCATACCGCGTAAAGTCGGGGATGTTGCATGCAAGCGTAGACCAAGAGCCCGTCACGCTTGACATACATGACAGCCATAGCCACGCATATCGAGACCTGTCCACTGTCGGCTGAAGAGCAAAGATATCTCCACCTCCGCCAGCCTCCCTGATGCACCATCCCATTGTCGCGATCGCTGCGACCGGTGCCGCCACCAGTTTCACGATAAAGATTGGCTTCAGCTTGGTTGGGTGGATCAGGAGCAGAGGCAATTGAATGATCCAAAACAAGAAATAGGATATCATCCCAACTGTGGTGATTCCTGCCGACTCTGGCAGAGCATTGGGGATGTCATTGTATGCTGGAGCCCAAGCACGAAGCATAATAGTGATGCATTGGGCCCCGTTCGCCCCCTGGACCACGTCAGCTAATCCAGCCAAGGTGGGTGCGGTACAGCACAGAAAGAACGTACCTGAATACCCAGCCAGAACATGGCCAAGATCGCCCGACTGACTATGCAGAAGTACCTCAGATGATACCCGAAGCTGCTGGTGGTAATTACCGAGAAGGGAACATGTAGCTTGGCTCCAATAGCACCGTTCAACACCATGGGTATGGCGACACAAAGGTTGCCGACCACCATGATGGGTATCGCCTCACGCCAGCTTAGGCCAACCGCCAGTATTGACGACGCCGTTTGCCAGGTACCTAGGTTGATGGTGTCGGTGGCCCAGTATGCCATGATGCTCCAAATCGTCCATGTTTGGTCCTCTTTGGGGGTTGGATCTGAGTCGATCTCAATCAGCTTCCAGTGCAGATGGGTGTATACGAGCCTTCTCTACACACCCATATCGCGATTCGTCCATACGTAGTCAGGGGCGATGGCCCCTGTCTGTTTGGGAAGCTCCCAAGAGTGAAGCGACGTGCATCTTCGCCTTAGTTCGGTTGCGGAGGGAGTCCAGATTTTCATCTTCTTTGCAGATATCAACAGATTGTCTCTGCTCTTACAAACACGGCTTTGAAGCTATCGGTGTGCTAGGCAACCCAAGATATGGATCCGGACCGAAGAGATGTGAACGAGCCACGGTGATATGGGATTTCGCAGCTTTTACACCTCTAAATATGACGTTACATCATGTCAGATTCGACAATAAGCAGATATGCATATCAAGCATATCTACGTAGCAAGCAGTGGCTCACTGATACCACACCATCCCACTCGTCTCGACTATCTGACCCCAGATCTGACTATGCCCCAAGTGGTGATCCGAGATTGTGGGTAAGCCAATCAAACAAGGCGATGGGCGGGGCTCTGGGTGTGCTGGTGCTTGCTGCATCGTCTACTTTTGGTTGATACCCAATAGCGCAAGGCTTACTTATCACTGGAAGACCAGGAGAGATAGGGCGTAATCGCCTGAGGATCTGGCCGTACGTTGTGGCTTCTTCACGGCATGGAAATCGTTGTCATCTGCATCGCACTAGTAACCTGTTTGATAGGTTCGATACCAGGGCTCTCTGAGGAGAGTGGAAGTGTTTGATGGGTGACATGCAGGGTTCAACAAGACAGTTCACCGCCGCCCTCCGTGCCGCCTCTGATAAGACTGCATTGTCAACCTGTTTTACTCTTAGCGCCCGGAGAGTATGTACGCCGCTCACGCTCGCGCCAGTTTCTCGAGACCTTCTTGTTTCTCGCAGAATATGTTGACGGCCTGGATATTCTTTCCTTCGCTCTTGCCTTGTTGACTGCGGGTGAAGGCCAATCGCCATGCGCTCTCGTCTTCTAGGATTTGTTTGTAGTCCTCAAAAGCCTGTTCTAGCCCCCCTCGAAAGACGGAGCCTGTGTCTCCTTCCCAAGGGTTGGCTGGCGTCTCAGCTAGCTTTTTCAGGAGTGGCGGCGACACAGTAATGTGGTTAGATCCTGCCAGCATCATGACCTCTTGAATGCTGGTAAGGCTGGCCGGAAGCACTTGAGTCTTGCTCCCAATCTTTTCGTAGTACTTCTGGGCCTTGCCACAAAAGCTGAATGCTTTACTCTCGTCGACATAGCTGTGTGTCCCGATTAGTGGACGTATGAGTGTAACGCAAGGCTCACTCACCCAGGATCAAAGTGCACGCGCAGCTCATTGATGTAAGGGGCGATGTAAGTGCAACCGACATGTGCAGCAAGTGCTGCCTGCTCCATACAGAACATGGTCGTCGCCAAAGTCGCGATTCCTCGGGACTCCAGAACACGACAGGCCTGCAAGCCCTCCCAAGTCGAAGGGATCTTGATGCAGACCCGTTTGGTGTCGAAGGAAGGCTCCAAGTCTCGAAATATTCTTACGATACCTATAGCCAATTAACCCCCGAGCGGCTTCTTCTGGTTGGGACTAGACATACGGCTGGCATTTCCGATAGTCTTCTCTGTGTTGTATGAGTATTTCGGGTTGGTCTGAATATGGGAAAACCCCTTGAGATAGGGAACTATTTTGAGGGCCAGTTTGACCATCATGCACTCGACAGCAACCTCGGCGACGTCAACCCCAGCGAATGCTTCTCGTTTCGAGCTGGCATATTCGATGGAGCTCTTGATAAGCTGGGAATGCACCTGGTCCCCCTTGTCATCCACACGGATGAGTTCATGGTATGCGATGGCCTGGCACGGTTAGGAACTTAGGTATGGACGGAGAGGGAACAACACTCCAGGCTCGAACTTGCTTGGTTTGAAGTACAGTCAATAAAAGGACCCAAAGTCTTGGCAACTGGTGCTGTTACTACACTCTGATCCAAATCGACCCGGAATTGCACATCGGACGCACCTTCGACGTCAAAAGTATCGCAGTCCACGGCAGAGTGGCTGCGTAGGACGTCTAATAGTGAAGTTGGTTCAGAACCCATCTTGGTAAGGACCCTTGACTGACTCCTCAGGCCAGCGCTCGGGTTGCGTCAAAATTGGGAATCACGATGAGCCTGTAAGCGCAAAGATCTGTGTGTATCAAGTAAAAGATAGAATGAGGGAGCAGCAAGTGAAAGAAATCAAAAGAACGGAACACCCTCAATTTTGCATTACGCCAGTCTTCCGACCACGGCGACGACTGGAGCCCGTGTGGCCAAGACTCACATGAAGCCTGGACTCGAGCGCCCTGCAAAGCTACGATGCGGGGAAACTCTGTCCTCGAGTCGAGGCTTCCGGTTCTCGCTGGTTCTTTATCCGCTCGCCATGAAAGTATAAGAGTTTTTAAGTCGGGGAAGCGACTGCTCAACTGTTGCCCATCGGAATGAAATCCACCGTTCTGTTACAGTCTTGCCGCAAATGTCTACCCAGCAGCTCACAGTATATAATCCTAGTGATGTTGCTCGTAGTCTAGAAGCTGTAGAACCCCGCTACTGGTCACCGTGGGGTTAATCCTATGGGACAACAACAGCGGCGTCCGGCAAACTCCTGCATATACAGATGTGCAACCGCCTCAACTCCGGTAAGCTTGTGCTTGGTACATTTGAGCATTGCGACGCTGACCTAGTACAGGAAAATTGCACTTCCTAGTAGGCTTTGACTGGCGCTTCCAAGTCCAGTGCTAACTTAGACTAGTCGCGAAACGACCGTCACTGCTCTACGATCGAACCCGGGGGGCCGTTTTCATCACTGTTTGCGCATACTACATGGAATGGGCTTTTACGAGGACCCCTTTCCCGGCCTGCCGTTCCTCGCTGGAATGAAGAATGTTTTGCTGTTCCAGCGTTGCGGACTAGTCAGCACTAGTTAACTAGTCGGATGGCGGTGGCTCTCCGGCGCACTTTCTGGTTCTTTCAGTGGCCAAACCACTAGATCAGCAGAGCTATCGATCGAACTGCCATACTGCTACTTGCCTGTGCCATATCAAAAGCAACAGGTTTCGAAGTGCGTGTAAATGATGTGGGAGCTCTTGTGCAAAAGCCTTACGATAATGCGTTTCTCTTTGCTTCAGCGCCGCGATCAGATCGCAGGGGATGACCCAACGCGGGACGTAGAAAGGGATCAAAGACAGGAATGCAACCAATTTGTCGGGCATAGTTGCTTCCAAGAATGTTCTGACTATACCAATGGTCGTCGGGCCACTTGAATTTCATTACTTGCGATCAGCGACTTCTTTGTCGGTGACCCTTTGTCGTCTCAAACCCTCCTCTCCTTCATCTTTTTCAAGTGACGGTCTCGCTGACGGATGCAACTCTCTCCAAGACTCTCACTGTTCTCCTGCAAGTTGTGAGAGGCTGTCGGTGCTACTCTAGTGACCAGGCCATGCTCGCGCCAGCTGTCGCGTCGAGGAATAGATCATACAGTCGAGCGCTTGGTGTCAACAAGCAATCGAGAGGGCCATTGGTAGAGAACTTCAAACCGGAAGCAGCCGTCATGATGGGCAGTGGGAAGCGGCCAGCATCGTCGCCAGCTGCTGCTTTCGAGAGCAAGAAAACAAGATACTCTTGGATGAGAGGCGGAGACTTTGATTTCGCAGAGGCACCGAAGCCTAAACAGACCGCACCCGGTGGTAGATCTAGCGATCAGAGCTCCTCAGCACCTCCGGGACCCTTTTCTCAGTCGAGGGATAGGAGGAGGCCACCACGCTTAGAATTCAAGGACAAGGTACCGCGAGAGGATCGAATCAACTTCCTAATAACGCCTCGAGACCAGGACTTCGTCAATATGCTCCAGTACTTTGACAAGCTGCTGCGGCAGGACAATCTGTCCGTGAAGGAAATCTTGGATGCACATTTCACTAGCCATGAGGTCAGCAAGATCGTCCCTACCACCAAGGAACCAATCGCTACATGGCAGAAACAAGACGCCGCCCGGTTCCAGGAGCTCTTGGAGACACAGTTCAAAGGAGTCCTGCCAACGCTCAAGATGAAGCTTACCATGTACTACTTTGGGCTGCCGGTAGCGCCTTTGAAGGTGATCTTCTGCAATGAGCCTCCAGATCCGTTGGATTTGGATGATTTTGATGGTCAAGACAAGTCAATTCCTCGGGATCCTCTGGAATTCTTGGACGAGTATGTCACACGTGTTCACGAGCCCGAGCCTGGTAAGTCTGTTGGCAATCTGTGTTGATTCGACTAACTGCCGAATAGCGAGTACCCAGCCGATGCCTCCAATTCCGGGAAACTGGCCACTTAGTCTTCGCGGCGGCGTGCTGGACCAGGAAGAAATGGATCTGATTCTATCCGACATCGAGGAACAGGAATCCGTCATCTGGGAGAGGCAGGCCAACGACCAGCTTCAGGTGTCATTGCGTGGGGGTGCGCTAGACTACGACGAAGTGTCCGCAATTGCCCAGGAGGATCCGAATACGCCAAAGACTCCAAACAACAAGAAGGATGGCCACCTCACAATGTATGGCCGACAGGGTCACATCGACTATGGCCGCAAGTGGGTTGACTTTGTCCTTGCGGCAAAGTTCCTCCTTGGCGATGCTGCTGCCACCGGACATCAAGTTCAAGTCGCGATAGATCTATTCGACAAGCAGCGCGACCATAGTTTCAAGTACGTCTCGACTGTTGAAGGCTCGTTCCTGCTAGATCCGAAGAGCTACGAGGAGAAGCAGAACGATGTCATAAAAACTTTTATGACGAACAACATGACGCCAAATCACGCCAAGGAGTACAATCGAGTATGCTTCGTCCGCCTGGTGAGGGACCAACGCCCATCAACCCCCAAGCCTCAGGTGAAGCCTGGGTCGGGCATCGTCGAGCTCACGGAATCCACAGGATGCGACACTGAGCCTCGTCGCACGACGTACCTGAGAATCACAAAAGCCCCATCACAACATAACTGGCCAAGCCAGTACTTTTATGAGTTCAAGAGGGCCATCTACAGTTTGCACCCCGATGCTCAGCACCACTATCTTGGGCTCAGACATACCATCAAGAACGAGGACTATGGCAAGCTTTATGTTGCCCAGGATCCTCCACTCGTTTTCACAGAAGGGATTGCCGAGTTCTGCGACGATGAGAAGGCCGATCTCGAGTTCTCGGTCACTTTCGAACCAATCTGCACCAACACAATCCCGGTCCTTACTCCGGGAAACATGAGCCTTGATCCAGCTACGCCGACTGTCGCCGGGACAGTTCAAAAATCCGCGTTGTCTGATCTTGGAAAATTGGTAGACCTAGCCGTCAATGCCTGTGTTCCTGATATCGGACTCAGAGGCACAATACAGTCTGTGGAACTGTGGCTCCACGCCCAGACATTCTTCGACGACGCACGCCTGCCATTCTCCACGGGTTATGAGGACGGCAAACCGACTCCGGCCAGCCGGGAAATGTGGAACAACTATATCAATGGTTTCAAAGTAAGTAACCCTGCCATCTACCAATCTGGGTTTGGCATCATGGCCCGCCCCCTATTCAAGGAATATCGACTTCTGGCGGAAGGCCGGGCAGCCCACCTGGTCAGAAACTTCTTAAGCCTTGACTTGAATGCCTTCAAAGCCTTGGTGTCGGTTCACCTATACCCTCAAGCGTATGACGTATTCGACACCAACCATGTCCTGCGCCTATCTACGCCGTCCATTGCATCCCAACATGCCGTCAGATTCGACACAAAGCCCGAAGAGTGGGCTCGTATTAAGCGACGTATCACTGAGAGCGTCATAGTTGTGGCCGTGGAGACGGGGCCCAAGAAGTATGAGTGGCAGGAAGACACAAAATGGGGTGAGTAGTGACCTTGAGTTGAGCTCGCCAGAGGCCTGCTGCTGATCTCTAGCCAGACCTTTGCGGATCTTCGTATTGGGGTCCGTGCTATGATGTACCCAAGGACTTCAACCTCGACTTAGCAATGGGCTCGGCATCTAAATCCAGTCGTCTAGATGGATCCGCTCAGGGCAAGCCGAAGGTCAAGTTCGACCTTGGGGGCGCTGGCAACGATGTCACCGACATAACCATGCGGGACCAGACGTACTGGCAGCCCCCTTCTATTTTTGCAAATCCATACAAACCAGCCATGCCACTACACGCGCCTCCTGTGGAGAGCATGCTTCGCGTGGGTGACAGCATGCCCGCAGTCAGTCTTGCCATGCGAACACCCGCAGAGATGGCGCGTTTGCAGCACGAGGTCCATACGTTACGTGGTCAGTTGCTGGACCGCATCAGGGATTGTCCGTATGCAGACTGTGACCAGTGCTTCCACTATCGGGACCAAGATGGCCTCGACCGTCACCTCAAGGAAGACCACACAATCCTGAGATGCCCCTTCTGTCATGTATCAGGCTGCTATGACCACGAAACAGAAAGCGCGCTCTACTTCGCGGACCGTGACCGGGCATTGCAGCACTTCTATGACAAGCATTGGACAGAGTTCCTGGGGCATGCCAATGTACCCGTCGATGCGGACGGGAAGCTAGCAATAGGGCAATTCCCTAGCGTGGTCGTTGGAAATGCAGCTAGGGAACGACTCGTTGCGGACTACAAGTTCTGTCATCGCTGCGGCCGAGACAACTCCCTTTGTCATGGGGCTGAGGACCGAGAGCACCACAGACATAGCTGCATCAACAAAGACTTCGAAGACCCAACCAAGTTGGGCGGGGAAACCCCCGAGATCATCAAGTGGTGCCGGTACTGTGGAGACAAGTACCCTGGCAAGTCCGGTGTGTGTCTTAACGATGACTGTATCGAGAAGGCAGAGAACCGACCACAGAAGCTGGAGCAGAAATTTTGCGCAAGTTGCGGTATCCCCTTTGCGGGATGGTCCCAGACAAGCCAAGCAACCCACAAAATGGGCTGCAAGACACCGGGTGGAAAGACTTGGGATTTTTGCGGGTTCTGTGGCATTGATCAGGCTGGCGTAGACGATACCAGCCGGAGGAGCCATGCCAACTGGTGTGAACTACGGCCCAAGCCAACGCCAACTCCGTGTCCAGACTGCGGAGACCTGTACGGTACATTTAAGGGACCAGAGGAGATCTTAGAGCACCTAGATGCTGTCCATAAACAGTCAGACGACTGCCCCTGGTGCGAGCAGATCTTCCCGTCCAATGATCACATATGGCTGCCGGATGTCAAGATCCAGCACTTTGCGAAACACATGGGCCAGGTTGCCAAAGCGGTGCCAGGGGCGTCCACCGGCGATAGAGTACTAGTGGGCCAGGAGAGATGTCCCAACTGGCATACCTGCGGCGTCATCATCGGAAGCATGACCGACAAGCAGTATCAACTTCATGTGGACCAGGCCCACGGCGGCCGCAGGGAGAGAATAGTCCCGTACAAGCCCAACGGGCACCCAAACGTAGTGAACCCAAGGCCGCGTAATGAGGAGATCCAGCAGACGAACGGAACCAGTGACGGCACTGACGGGAACATCCAGGATATTGCCGATCTACATGTTAGACCGGTCATGTCGGTCAACCTGACCAGACCTCCGAGGGGAAGCAAGGAAAACCCGAGGCTGACTGACTTGGGGCGGCCCACGATAAAGTTCCAGTGGCGCTTTAACGGTGTTCGGAACATGACTGAGCCTAACTGGATGAAGCTCGAGCCATATCAAGGAGACGAAAGGACTTACCTCCCCGAGCCAACTAGGCGTTGTTCCAGGTGCTTCAAGCCCGCACCAGCGACTACCGACAAGAATCGGTCCTTCGAGATCAAAGTAAGTGGATGACAGGTTGCGTAAGCCACTGCCCTCAGAGAAGCGTGAAGGCTGATGAATGTCCCCTCTAGCTGCATTCCGACCCCAGGTATTCCTGCCGGATTCGCCGTGCTCCCGGTATCTACAATCCAGGCGCGGGTTGCGATGTGCCCAACTCCAGCGGTTGGATCGAGTTCCCTCCCGACTTTGACTTTAAACAAGCCAGGCAATCTTTTCTTGCACGCCACATAGCCTATGCAGGAACGATTTTCCCGGTCGATGACGAGCGGGCTGATGATATCTATGACGGACCACAGCCAAACAGAGGCCAGTCCAGAGACGATGTCATGGCAAATTCACTGACAGAAGCTGCTATGGCCCGCCACCAATTGCCATGGCCACCCTACAAAGGCCCCGGCACATATCAGAGAGTCGACATACCGGGACAGCCGGTCATTCACGTTCCAGCGTTTCCAGCGTTTCAGGACGTGGGTGTTGTTGGCTCTTCCACTCGCCGCGCAACAGCCGCCATTGAGAACTCACAACTCGGGAAGACAAAGATTCCCAATAAAACCGGGCCGACATCTGTGACCAAGACAGCTATCATGAACTCTGCTAAGCTGGCAGAGCAATCCGCGAGAGGTAGCACGGCCCAGGATTACGCTGCGAAGTCGACAGGGCAATCCACAAGAGGCAGTACGGCCCAGGCTGACTTTGGCGTCGACGAGAACGGGGACGTGGATGGGGACATCGGCATGAGCAGCGACTCGGACATCGAGATACAAATGCCCGATTCCATGATACCCGAGTCTCTACGCAGAAGTTCCAAGAAGCGACAGTGGCCCAGCGACATTGACCCCCTCTACCGCAGGGGAAGTCGTGATGATGAGCCAGAAGAAGAATTCGACGACCGTAGTACGCAGAGAGATGGTGTGGCCGAAGACTTTTCCACGGTGCCATTAGATGCAGAGGCCATATCTCCGTCCTGGAATTCCCCCAAAGAGGCAAATTTTCCCAAGAACAAAGGGAGACCCAGCAGGAAGACACCACTTGTGACTGTCAGCAAGGCTCAGAGCGAGGAACCCCCCGTCAAGAGGGTCAAGAAATCTGCCACCTCAAGCAGAGGCACCACGCCTCTGGCGGGTGGAGAGGCAGGACCGCCCGGCCAGGCAGCTAGAAATAGAGCACGCTCTGCGACCCCTGCTGTCGAACCTAAGCAGCCACCAGCGACAACAGGGAGGGCAACTCCTGGGCCTCGAAGCAGAGGAATGGCCTCACGGGCAGATGACTATGGTCCGGAAGGGCCAACACGCTTCACCCCCGCGCCAGGGACTCTTGATACTCTACCATCTCTGCCCACCACGGAGCGCAAAAGTAGTCGGGTTCTGAAGCCAATCAAGAAGGTCACCTACGAGGACGAGAGCGTAAGTGAAGAGGACGTCCAGGACGCCAGAGCGGCGGCCAGTGAGGCCGGCCCCGCGAAGACACCAGCCAAACGCGCTCGGAAAAAGGCCGGCGAGGATGGTGAGCCCTCTACGGTTACGAAGGCTACCAGAACGCCTGCTAGGACTCCGGCCAAGACACCGACCCGAACGCCGGGGACGAGGAGCCGGAAGAGGGTCGAGGTTGATTGCGAACCCGATATCAATGATCAGACCGGGGGTCAAGATGACGACGGGACCAAACCCAAGAAAAGAGTCCCACGTATCAAGTGAGCTCGATCCATACAGATACAGTTGTGTGGAAGCCGAAGGAGGTAAATGGCGCAAACGGCTGGGGTAGAGAGCTTGGGTGATGAAGCGCCAGGGTTGGACGGCTCGACACATTCTTTCAAATGTGATTTCTTTTGTCAACGGGGGGCTAGCAGCCTGTCTGCATATTTTTTTTTTCAAGTCTATTTCATTCCCTAAGGCTATACTAATTGAGTAACCATCTTTGGAGTTGCCTTGGTCCCGTGCATGTCAGATAACTGGCCTTTGTAACCCGAGGTGTTGCTATAGAACGGTCACTCTGGGGTGATGGATCGACCCATCATGCTTTCTGATCGCAATCGCAATGGCATTGAATGATCAGGCACAGCGTGGGTTGGCCCCGCTGGTGCTGACCCCGGAGGACTGTCAACTCCATTAGCATCACGTTCCCTTCGTCGTATACTCTACTGATTATTCTATGACATACTATGCAGTAGATTTCCAACCTCCTTTAGACGTTATAAAAGTGCGACAACGTCCAATGAAAAATCATGGTGGCTCAGGCGCATGCTTGTAGGGACACACACCATGCGAGTCAACAGCTCATGCGTGGCGGGGGCTGCTCGAGCTCTCTATTTGGGGTGTTCATCGAACGGTGGGAAGTAAGTAGAAACGTCGTTTTCAATTGACTATGTGCACCCCATCGAACAGTCTCAAAAAGAGTAGTGGTCTTCTCAAAAGTCGGCTTATGCTATCTAGATGTCTATCGATGGTACACATTGGAGGCCATGCACCTCTTGAGCCATGGCAATCCAATTCACGTGATACCCGGTGTTGTACAGTCCGTCGTGCTTAGAATACATGTCTTCATCTTGTGGCACAACTGCCACCTCGCTCTGATATCCGCTCCTATCTTCGGATAGCGTCTCGCTCGAGGCCAGCCCATCAGGTCACTTCACCTGGCGGCGTCCTCCTTTCCATGGAAACGCACCCGAGATACATTTACTCCTCCTCATCCTCCTCTGGCTCGGTGTCATATTCAAAGTCTCTCGGGGGCTGGGCCTCCTCGTCGTTCTCACCGTCCTCATCGATCGCCGTCAGGACGCCCGCGGCCGCAGCTGCACCTCCAGCGCCACCCAGTGCGCCAGGGTTGACGCCAAGCTGTCTGAGCAATGCATCCTCGAGGCCTCCCATGCCGCCCCTGTTCCTGGCAGAGGCACCGCCGCCACTGCCTGGCGTGGCAGGCACGGGTGCCTTGTCGGTCGAGACCTTTTTCAACTTCTCCTCGATGAGATCCTTCTTCTGGCCGGGCTCCCTGTCGTGCACCAAGATCGGACCACCGGTGGACAAGGGACCTGGGCGGACGAGCTTGACGGGCCAGTAACGGCCCTTGGCAGGGGTGATGTACTTGAGCTGGCCCGGGAGAACACGCGTCATGTTGTCAATCTCATAGCCGGCCTTCTCCTTCTGCTGCTGCTGGTCCTTCTTCTTGGCCTCGGTCGGCGGCGACGCCTCCTTGTCGGTCACGGCCTCGCCCTCCTTCTTGGCATCTTCGGGCTTCTTAGGCTCGTCGACGTCCATCTTGTCATCGGCGCTGGGCTTGGATACGGTGGGGGTCACCTCGATATCCATGCTCTCACGACGCTGAGCCCGCTCCTTCTTCTGCGCACGTCGCTTGGCTTGGGCTGTGGTCGAGAGGATGGCGGTGGCGATCAAGGCAGGGCCCTCCTCGGTCTTGACCTCCTGCTCAGGCGGGTAGTCGAAAAGGCTGGGCTTGGTCGAGCAGTGGAACTTGGCATCCACCAGGTCCAGGTCGTGGTCGAGGGCGATGATGGACGTAGGGCTGAAGGCCAGGGAAAGGAAGTGGGTGAAGGGGAACCAATACCAGTACTGCGTGAAGACGGCCATACCCACGATGCCGGCCATGTTGAGGTTGCCGGTCTGGGTTTGCAGGCCGATGGTGCAGTTGCGGCCGCCGGCGTCGATGATACCCAGAGCCAGGGCGGCACCGAACTTGGTCATGGCATCCTCGTGGCGATCGCCGACGACCTTCTTAAGAGTCTTGCGGATCGCCGCAACCTTGGGGTTCATGACCTCGTTCTGCTGAATCATGATCATGGCGAGGGAGATCAGGGCACCCTGGCGGACGAAGTCGGTGGGGTCCTTCATCATGGGCTCCAGCAGGTCGATGGCCTCATCCAGGCCGGTTCCGGCACAGGAGATGCCGAGGGCCATGGCGGATCCGTACCGCACGTGGGGGTTGTACGACTCAGAGAGGAGCTCGACCATGCGGGGAACGCTGCTGGGCTTGCGGAAGAGGATGAAGCCCAAGCTCATGACGGCGATGCGGCGAACATCGTCGTTGACATCGCTGACGGCAATGTGCAGCAGCTTGCGGATGGCCTTGTTGCTGCCTGTGCCACAGTACGCCATGGCGACCGTCATGATGCCACCATATCGGAGAGTCGGGTCGGGGTCGTTGAGCAGGCCCTCGATCATGACGTCGGCGCCCTCCTGGCGGCCGTACATGATCAACGACATGCCCAGGGCCAGGCCCCGCACGCTCTTCTCATGGGTGGTCTCGTGGGCGTACGTGACCATGTCCTCCAGGGCCTTGACGTTGCCGGTGCCCAGCATGATCAGACCCATGGACAGGCCAACAGCCTCGCCGTTGAGGGCCGAGTCGGCGAACAGGACGTTCTTGAGATTCTCAAAGATCTCGTCGTTCCCGGTGGCCATGCCGGCGATACCCAGACCCAGAGCACCGCCGTGCTGGATAACCTCCTCCTCGGCAGCGGAAAACTGCGACTTGAGGTAGCCCAGGGCATCGGCGCCGTGGTTGGCGTGGATGAGGCCGTACGCATACAGCGCGCCGCCCTGGGAGTAGACTGAGCCGCCGCTGATGCCGCCGGCTCCCCGGGGCAGGTAGGGCTCCAACAGCTTCCGGGACTGGGAGATGTTGCCGCGGTGGATGACGCCCAGGGCGGCGGTGGCGGTGAACTTGGACCAGTTGACGGCCTTGCCCAGCCATTCCAGGTTGTCGCGGAAGAACTTGTCGTTGGTGGTGCCCTGGTTCATGAAGGCGTTGCTGAAGGTGACGGCGGTGTGGAAGATGGAGTTGCGGCCCTCAAGGCTGTCACGGACCTTGTTGAGGACGCTCAGGTCGGTGCGGTTGTTGCGATAGAGGAACTCGAGGTTCAGCTTGATGGTCTTGGTGCCGTCGAGGATGGAGCGGATGTTCCTATAGACGTCGCCGCCCTTGTCGCCCGAGTCGCTCTCGGCCTCATCGTCGCCCGACTTGTCGAGCAGGGACGTGCTCTCGGTGGCGGCCTCGTCGCTGTTGCCCTGGGCGGCCGCGCCCTCCCGGGATGCGGCAGGCGAGCCCGAGGGCAGGTGCGCCATGACCTTGGCCAGGAACTCCTGGGTGCCGTTGTCGTAGAGATCAAAGGCGAACTGGTAGGCGACGGCGACCGAGCTGGGCTCGCCCGACTGGACCAGCTTCTGGATGACGTCCCTGGCATGCTCGTCCTTGTTTAGGTAGACGATGCACTTGGCGATGGAGAAGTAGTCGGGCTCCTTGACCTTGTTACTGGAGAGGATGTCAAGCACGAGCTCGAGAATCTCGTCGCGGAAGGCACGCTCCTGCACGACGTCCATGCAGATATTGAGACAGTAGTCCATCAGCTCCTCGGCGGGACCGGGGGCGTCGGCTTCGTCGTCGTCGGAGCTGGCCTTGCCCTTGGACTTTTCATGTTCGTGGCCGGCCTCCTTGATGACGCGGGCGACCACGTCCAAGCGCTTGGCCTCGACGGCGATGCCGACGACCTGCTTGTAGCGGCCCTCCCTGAGGCAGCCGGCGTAGAGGCGCTCGATGACGCTGTCGATGGCGCGGCGGGTGTCGAGCTCATTATGGGTCAGGGCGATGGAGGAGGAGCGATGCTGCTTGCGGGGCGGGTCGAAGGAGGGCTCGATTATAGTGTTGTCGGTAGAGGCTCTGGACAGGAGCGACTTGGAGGGCAGGGTGGACTGGGAGAACGGGGTGGTGGGGGAGATGAGGGCCGAGGCGTTGTTGTCGTTGGCGCCGCCGAAGGCCGTGGCCAGGGCGGGCAGGGACTTGTCGTCGTCGCCAGCGGGCCCGGCGGCGGCGGCGGCGGCAGCTGCGGCGTCCTTCTCCTTCTGGGACAGGACGGTGTGGTTCTCGTTCTTGGCGGCGATGTAGTGGTCGACGCACTTGGAGATGATGGTCTCCTCGAACTCGCCGGGGCTGTCGAGCTTGAAGAGGTCACCGGCAGCCAGGGCGAAGAACATGCTCTCGTCGTAGGCCTGCAGGTGGTAGTAGACCTTGGACAGCACGAGGGCGGCCAGCTTGCGCTCGGGGAAGGCGTCGTCCTCGTAGAGAGACTCGATCTGGCCGAGAGCGCCGGCGACCTCGGTCCAGACCGTGTCGATGTCGTCGTTGAGGGTCTGCAGGGCGAAGACCTTGAGCTCGGGCTCCTCGTCGGCCAGGAAGCCGAGGACGCCTGTGGCCGTGACCAATCCAGGCATCTTGGGGCGGGCACGCGCGGGCGGGTGTTCTGCTGCAGAGAATCGAGAATCGAGAATCGTGAATCCGATGGGGGACCAGCAGACGTCTTGCGATGGCGGCGTGCTGTGAACTGGGAGGTGGTGGATGGATGGCTAGGTGGATGGATGGAGATGGAAGTGGTGGATGGGATGTGTGAACTTGCACTTCCAGTGTCTCGTCTCGTCAGCTTCGAACTTCACCACAGCAGCCAGCGCCAGCCAACCAGTAGCCAGCAGACCAGCAAAGCAACACGTCAGGCACAGCTCTGCCTTGCCGGTGGGGCCCTCCCAGCGCCGTGACCCCTGTGGCTCCCACCGTGGCCCGCTGGGCCCCGTCCCAACTGAGCTTAGCGGCCTGCTTCCAAGAGGTTCCTCAATGGCCCCGGGGATCTTGGTCGCCGCGGATACACCATTCTCCATTCCGAAGGGGTACCTAGGTGATAGTGCCCAGGTCCAGTCTAGGTAGTCTGCGAGGTACTGGACCTAACCTAGGTATCCTAACCTGGGAACTTTTCCAGTGTATCCTCCCAGCCCATGGGGCATCATAGTTCTGGCATCACTCGCCTGGGCGTGGGTGAGCATCTCAGTATGGGGCTGGCTTGCTCTCTCTGAGATGTTTCCGTTTCCGGGTGGGTATACTTTCCATGTTCCAGGTCTTCCAACCCTAGCAAGCTTAGGATGGGCAAGACAACCTCAGCGCCTGCGATGTCTTGGATATCCATGATACGAGTTACGTGCTGGGTTGGACTTGATTACTGCCGGCTACATTTGCAGCATTTGCATTTGCATTTGCATCTCCACATTACTAGAGCCTCGCCCGTCGCAAAATACCCACTACGGTAGTCCACCGCTGCACCGCTGCACTAGGTAATAGGTGCCGCAACCGCAAAAGCCTGGCTTATATAGGCACGTTTTCTTACTTGGTGGCTTATTGTATCTATACGTACCTGGGAGAGGATCTCACACGTAGCTCGCCCTTACGCACCTCTTATTCGTCGGTATGGTATACGAATTCATTGCATTCATTGCTGAAGCCTCAACTATATCCTAAACGATTGGCTACCAAGCTCTCATGTTGAGTCCCCCCCTCTGGTAGCGACAGAGCCCCTTTCATCCTGCTATGTATATCCCATTGCCCTGCCCTGTCAGTCGAATTGAACTGTCTTAATTGTTCGCCTCCCTGGCTGAACACTCACATAGGCGGAAATAACCCGTCACTGGACAGCAAGATGACCACCGCTGGCAAAGGCGACGCGTACCATCAAGGTACACAGGCAATGCTTGCCTCGGGGGTAGATACCTGTATCCTACCTGTACATCTCTACCCAACGAAATCCTATTACACATATAGTTGCCTGCGGGCATTACACTCTATCAGCAATGAGCGTTGCTCTTTTATCCTGGCTCACCAAACCTGTTGCTGTTCGTTTTGAGCATGCTCGCATGCCATCCAGCAGTTTCGTCCCCAAGAATGTCTGACGCATCCTGTCATCCACCCCCTGGCAACCTGCGAGTTCGGCTCTTGTGCCTCATTGTCGATCCAATTTCTCCTGGCGACTTGGATTTTCTGGGGGCCCCTGAAGGCTGAACAAACCCACCCACCACACACGGGTTCGCCTATCGCTAGCAGAGCCTCTGGGGACCCATCACCCGAGCCGCATGCTGGCATCGTCAACGATCCAAGCTGGACTTTCCAGGTCGGCCTGCTCGATTGATGGACCTGGATGTCACGCACCCAAGCACTGGCCGATTGAGTGAGTAGATGCACCGCACCAGGCGGGGCCACTCGGCGTCGTGTCGACTACATGCATAGTAGTAACCCCCTTTGCCCCTTAGATAGAAGTGAGGTAGCTTTATTTCATCAACTAGGAATCTAACCCCCCCAGCTAGCTGAGGTCACCAACCCGTTATCTTCAGCTCCCCCCAGAGTAACTATAGTTACCACAGTAGAGGCCCGGGTTACTGTAATTATATCGGCCAGCCAGACACGAGCCGGCCCCAGCTGGCGATATCGTTTGCACGAACGTACGCCCACGCCCACGCCCACGCGCAGCCTGGCTGGGCCAACACACGTACCCCCCCAGCCCACAGCACTACTGTACGAAGGGGGACGGCCCCCGACGTGACTTGACGGCTTTTTGGGTGGCACATTCGGGACTTTTTTTTGCGACTAGGTTTCCATCCGCCCGTAGCTCTCCTTGGTTCTGCGCGAGCGTCCATCTCTCATCACCATACTTAATCTAATACCTGCAAGCTGCCACACAAGACGCTCGAGGAGCGCATCGTCGAGCACGCCTACATCCGGTCGGGCACCTGTGTAATCGCGAGTCGGGCCAAGGCAGCACCGACAGCACGACGGCGCCCACAGCAGAGCACATCGCCGCGCCGCGCAGCACAGCACAGCAACAGCTCGTCGCCCGCACAAGCCCGCGCAGAGCCCCCCAACGGCCTTGGAGCAAACGGGGACACCACGCGCCTCGCCGCCGCACTGCGACGACTCCCCCGTCTCGAGACTTGTCCGCGAACGTGTGTGTACGATACTTGTATGGATGGGACCGTGCCGATGTGCTAGGAGAGTGCGCCCGTGTCAGTCAGTGAATTCATGCGCGCCTGTCGAAGCGCCGAAGAGAGCGCGCGCGAGACGACAAACCCAGGACGATAAAGGACCAGAGCTAAAGGGGGGGAATACGGCCGCTCGCAGACCCGTGGATTGAACTGGGCATAAGGAAGGGCTCGGGAGTCAGGGCATCCGCGCCGCGCGCAACGTGTGATTGAGAGGCAGGCGGCCCTCCGTGGACTCAACGCACAACCCGGGCGGACTCGACGATACAATGGATCTGAACTCGATGCTGAACTCGGACAGCGGCGCAGGGGGTGCGTCGAGACGGCCTCAACCGCCGCCGCCGCCGCCCTTGTCCAAACCACCGTCCGCATCACCCTCCATGACCATGACCCCAGCGCCCCAGACCCCCGTGCAACAACATCCGCATCACGGCTTCAGGGACTACAGCCAGTCCATGCACGCGTCGCCGGGTCAGGCCCCGGGGCCCCCGCCGCACGAGTACCACCCCGGGCATCCGCCACCAGGACCGCCCGCCCAGTATGCATCGCCGACTACCCAGCACCCGCCTCCCGGCGCCTTTGCCTCGAGACCCGCGCCTCCGCCGATCCAGCCTCCCGGCACCAGCAACGACCCGCGGTCGCCGGGCAGTGCCATGTCCGGCCCGTCGCCCTATCGCCATACCCCGACGTCGTCCTTGAGCAGCGCCAGCCAGGGCTACCCTTTCCCGCCGGGCCCGGCACCAGGCCAGCAGCCGCCGCCGAGTCCGCAGCAGCGCCATCAGTACGGGCCACCTGCGGGCTATCCTCGCGATCCGAGAGAGAGCTTTGCATCTCCAGGAGGTTCGGGGCCCCCCGCCGTCGGGATGCCGTCGCACCATGGATCAGTGTCTTACGGGCAAGGGCCCGTGGCCCAGCAGCCGATGCCACCACAGACACCACCCGTCACGACGCCTGGTGGCCACCCGTACCTACAGCAGCAGCAGCAGCAGCAGCAGCACCAGAGGTCGCAGTCGGTACAGTCTGCATCCACGTCGACTCCCACGTCGGGGCACCCTCACCAGTTTGGGGGGCCGACGTATGGACCACAAAGCGGCAGTCCGGTTGCGACGGCGCATTCTTCTCTTCCGCATTTCGACCACAGAGATCAAAGGCAGACGTCCCAACCGCCCACACCTCTGGGGCCGCCTGCGGCTCCACGACAGTCACCGGGCAACTTTGCCCAACCGTCGAGTCCCTACCAACAACGAATGTCCACCTCGTCCGCCGCTGCTGCGCTACCGCAATCGCCGTACACCACTCCCCATCCCCCTCCGCCGCAAAAACACCCGGGCCTGCAGCTGCAGCAACACCAACACCAACAACCCTCTCCCCCACCGCCCTACTCGACCTCCATCCCGCAACAGACCCCCAACAGCGGCCACTACGACGCCGTCAGCGACTCGCATCGTCGGTCACAGTCACACACGTCGCACGAACGCGACCGCAGCGTCAGTGTCTCACCCAAGACGCGCATTCCGAGCCTCACCGGAAGCCTGAGTGGTACCGCCCCTGGCCCGCGCCCGTCCTCCGTAGCCGGCAGCGAAAACTCGGATCTGCATTACCAGCAGGGCCACCCAGCACCGGTCGTGGCCCAGATGCCTGCCGTGAACCGAGAAGGCACACCCGCCAAACGGAAACTCGACGACAGAGATCTCAGGCCCGACGAGGTAGACGGCGGCAGCAACAGACGGCCCCCGCCGCCTCAGTTGAACGGCAACCACACTGCGTCGTCCGTCTCGCAGTCAGCCTCTCCTGTCGCGGGCCGGCGAAACAAGATCCGCCACGCACAAGTTCCCGTCTGGGCTCAGAGCGGTAAGGGCCACCCACCCAACGTCAGCCGCAACTACGTGCTCAAGAGCAAGAGCCACGGCGGTGCTGCCAGTCGCCCGGCCCAGGTCAACGGCCACGCCCAGCAGCCTCCCGCTCCCACTGTGGACGGAGCCATGGGCATCAAATCCGAACACGCCTCGCGCCACGCCTCCCCAGAGGCTGCCCGCAGGCCGGAAGATGCTTACCCGACCATCGGTCATGACAACCGGGCCTGGAAGCTGCTTGACGGGCGGCCATTCCCTCTCGAGCCCGTCTGCCTCAACGCGCCGCTCGATCATGTGGCCAAATCGATTGCCGATTGGCTTTACGTCAACATCATGCACAGCGAGCATTTTCACCAGGTCCAGAGCAGGCAGATCCAGTGGGAGATCGAGGCCAAGTTTGGCACAATCATTGACAGGCAAACAAACCACCGTGTTCACTACCCGGTCAACGGCGAATGCATCATGACCGAGGAAGCCAACATTGCGTTCAGGAGTAGCATGACCTTGGTGCGTATCTCTCCTTTTCCCCCTCCTCTTCTACGCACCTTTTGCGTGTGCGCTTGAATCATCATATTTGACTAACATGACATGGTGTAGGCGCAACACCGCTCCTACAATGAATGGCTCAATGCCTTGCTGGCCACGACGCATCCCCGAAACCCTAACAATAAGCCGTATCAGCACGTGCCCATATCCTACAAGCATCGCAAGGAGGTCGATCATTTCTATGAGCTGCCCAGCGCCTTGTACCAGCGGGTCCCGGCCGCGCTGAGCTCCCTTGCACAATCTAAGCAGCCGTTGAAGGCTCGCGTCACTACGAATCAGGAGACGGGCGACGTGATCGCCAAGATCATCAAGGCTCGCATTGTCGACCTGAACATCCACCTCCCCATGACCCAATTCGATTGCCGCATCAGCATCAACCTCGAGTGGGACTGGGACGGTCCCGCTGAAGAGATTGTCAACAATCATCCACAACATCGCGAGCGCCAACCCGACCGTGCCAAGGACCGCATGAGCTACAACCAGGGCCATTTCCAGGTTGATCTGACCCAAGTATCGCAAGTCAACACACGCACCGGACAGACTGAGAAGGAACACGAATTGGAGGTCGAGATGGATGCCAACATGCTGATCGAGCAGGCTATGAGGGCGGCGGAAGACAAGACAAATCTATACGAGGAGCTGATCGAAGGCTTCGTTAATAATATCAGGGGCTTGGCGAGAAAGGTATTTACTGAAAACAGTTGATCGCCCCCCTATGGACGCCCACTGGGCCAAGGATGCAGAGCCAGTCCTCAATTTTTCGGTTTCGGGAAACATCCCAAGGCTCATGACGGCGCCAGGCGACTCTAGCCGGCTCGGAAATGTCGCCGGGCGTTTCGAGTCGTCGGCATAGTTCCAACCTGTACATAAACACAACTACTTGTTCCATGCACGGCTTGTTCATAGCGACTAGAGCCGGCGGGTTTCGGGGGTTTCGGAGAAGTGGAGGGTGTTCCAAAATGGCAAACCTGTACTTTTTTATGGTCATCGCACACAGAGAGAAATGGTATGGATCCCGGCGTGATCACGGCGTGAATTGAGACGGGACAAACTTATGTATAAGTGTCTGCCAGACCTGGAGATTGCTACATGACACGTATGACGGCTGTGACACCTTTCAAGCTCGTATTATGTATATGACCTTGCGTTACAACCTCGGGCGATCATTTTGACGTTTCTCGTTTTAGTCTTGCCGCTCCTTTCAGCTTGGTCGCAGTAACGAAAAGCCCGGTGAAAACACAGCTCGGCGAGGATCCGCAATAGAAGAGTGCACCTTATATAGGTAATTAAGGTAGGAGTGGCATTAACTTACTGTGTAACTCATACAATATGGCCGTTTAAATGGTAATTTTTATACTACATTAAAGTTTTTATATATTTAAGTTCTTAAGGAAGATAACAGGCTATGGGTATCTCCTTTCGCCTGCGTGATCACCCTGGGCAAGTATGAGTTCCTCGTTTGCGCAAACCCTTCGGCGCTATGGTCCGAAAGACGGCCTCTAAAAAAGCGAGCTGTGTGTGTGTGTGTGTGTGGG